AAACAGTGAGAGCATGGCCTATCGATCCTTTAGCGTTTCAGGACTTGAAGCTAGAGGTGTCAGAAAAGTTACCACAGGGATAACTGGCTTGTGGCAGCCAAGCGTTCATAGMGACGTTGCTTTTTGATCCTTCGATGTCGGCTCTTCGTATCATTGTGAAGCAGAATTCACCAAGTGTTGGATTGTTCACCCACCAACAGGGAACGTGAGCTGGGTTTAGACCGTCGTGAGACAGGTTAGATTTACCCTACTGATGCACCGCTGTCGCAATGGTAATCCAACCCAGTACGAGAGGAACCGTTGGTTCGCACAATTSGCAATTGTGCTTGGCTGAAAAGCCAGCGGTGCAAAGCTACCGTGCRTGGGATTATGACTGAACGCCTCTAAGTAAGAATCTATGCTTGCAGCGACGGCGTATGCCTCCTCGGATGACACAAGGCTGTCGATAGGGCCAGCCCGTCTGGCCCCGAAAGCATAAGTTCGGAGTTGTCCCTCCTGCGGCGGAGCACCGACGCCCTGGGGGTCTCTTCATCACAATTTCTTTCGCTCGGGGTGTCAAACCCTTTGCAGACGACCCAGACAGGGAACGGGGTGTTGTAAGCAGTAGAGTGGCCTTGTCGTCACGATCTGTTGAGAATCGGCCCTTTGTTCCAAAGGTTTCCCCCACCTTCAGGTTCCCCACCCCTCCTCAAATGTTTGAACAACGGTCATCCGCGTCTGAAGAGAGCCGTCGCCCTTGTATAGGGGCCGATGAGCTGCTTGCTTCTTTTTTTTTTTTTCCTTTTTTTTTTTCCCAGTTTTGCTGCTTCTGTCTTAAGCCCCTTTTGCCCGATGTGGTACCCGACTTTCGGCTCAAAGGAGAACTGTGTCCGAGCCCATGTTGGGGTGGGTGCCACGTTGTAAGCTTCTGGCCACTGCGGCGTGCCATCTGTCTGAAAGCATGGATATGTGTGTCTTCCTGTACTTGACCCGGTGGGCGTTTGTGCATGCCACATTGTCCGATATCGCCCCATACGGCCTGCCACTTTTGGCTGCACGGAGACCTGGGACCAAAGGATGGATCGACGTGAGTGCCACATTGTACACTTACTCACGATGTGGCGGGCGACCTTTGTTTTAGTAAAAAGAAAAAGCTATTCTTCAAGTATTCAAACAAAATGCAAACGTGTACTATGTACATACGTCTATAATATTATGCATATTACTTTTTTTTTTTTTTTTCCTATTGGATTCACCTTTCTTTCATGATGAAAACAAAATTCTGAATCTTCTCATTCTGTAGATAAAAGTTTGCTCAAGCAAGTATTCAATCAATTTAACGGAAGATTTTTAGTAGAGGGGGAGAGACGAAGGGTGTCTGGCCCCCCCTGCATACAAGCGTAATCGTCGTGGGGGCGCGCGAAGCATGCCCCTGGTGTTTCGGACCTGGAAAGCCAATTCTCACCCTATCTGGACCTCCTCATGTGTGTGCGTAATATCATGGCTTGGGAACAAAATACAGCGAGCGTAGTCATGATCTTCGTGGGGCCGCGCGCCCCCCAGCTTTGGGAACAGAGAGGCCACTTCCTGCCCTTTGTGCCCCCCCCCGCCCCCCCGCCCCCCCGCCCCCACGGGTGCGAGCAATGATGTGCATGGCGGGGGCAAACGGTCCACTTCCTGCCCTATCCGGCCCTCCTGCGCGTGCGCGTGATCATGGTGGGCTGCTTCACTGGAGGCAGTACCTGATTGGCTCCATGGTGTTCTCCGGGACATGCACGGAAATGCTTATGGCCGTCGTGTTCTCGGCCTCAATTCTTCTGCCGGATGCAGTTTTTTTCGGGGCCGACACAATTGAAATGACGATTTTCGGATTTTGTCAAGTCATCCTTGACTTTTCTTTCCCCCCTTGTCTTTCTGGAGTGCGTGTCCGGTCATGTTTGCCGACACATAACCCCACAACAGATGCTCGATTCTGCCAGACTTCCCGTAAACATTTCACTCCCACACCGCGGCGTGATCTGAGTCGCTAGGCACAGCAGCTGCTTGGCCTTTTCTCTGTTTGTTTCGTCCCTTTTTTTTTTTTTTTTTTTTTTTTTTTTAATGTATTTATTTTTTCCCCCCGGCCCTTCCCCTTATCCCTTTGTGTGTGGAAGGGACGGAGATGGGACAGACTTTTGAGGTGTCGAATTTTGTGGGGCAGCAGATACCGTGCACTGCCACTCGGGCGTAGGAACGGCCCCAAGAAAAGGGGGTCTCCCAGGATCGAAGGTCCACAGGCGTCTTATTGAGAGCGGAAAGGGATGAGGTCCCGAGGGGGACATCGCCATTGGGGTCTGTCCAGTCAGCTTGCTGGAAAGGGACATGTGCAGGTCCCTCGGCGGATGGCTCAGTGAGCACCCTCCGGATGTGCCAAACAGTCGGTGGTTGGCGGTTCGGAGTCCCGTTTGCACTCTTATAGGGGCCTGCGTGCTTAGCAGCCCCCTTGCAGTCGACGAAGGCGAYGTTCCGGGCGTGGGTTTTGGGACCTTGTACTCGAGTGACGAGGAACTCTTTGCACACGCTTTGGGTGGTTTCCAGTTTGCGAGGGACAGGCAAGTCGTTCTTTGGTGGTCGAGCGAACATTTTTGCGGCGCCGTGCGGGTCCATGGTCGTCTCTCTCGGAGGGCTTATTTCACGACAGCTTGGTCGTCGTTGGCGGCGGTCACGGCTGTCGGGGCTTTCCTATGCTGTGGTGCCCGGGTGTGGATCGTTGCGTTCACCCTCGCTCATTGTCTTGCGATGATTGGCGCCTGATCGCTGACGGCGGTCCGGTTGGCGGTCGTTTGCAGGGTGTGGAGGCGGAGGCGCCCGTCACCGACTCTCAGCCTCGGCACCATCATCTCATAGGTTATGGGGAGAGCGGTTGTGGCTTTGTTGTGGTGTCGTCTCCGTGTCCGCACTTACAACGATGCGTTCCGTTTGTGTTGAGGGGGTATCACGACTTGGTGAGGACGCTCTGCACTCTTCGCCATCCGAGCGGCGCCATTGAGCGGTGGCGCAGGTCGCCTCAGCCCTGGACCCGCTGCTTACCGTATGCGAGGGGGGAGACTTGTGGGATGCGTGATGCACCCTCCGACGGCGTCGCGAGGTTGGGCCTGTCATCCGCCCGACTTGTTGGAATGGGCGCTTGTGCCCGTCGTGTCCCCCATCCTGTGGTCTTGGTATGCTGCACACCGTGACGGATCCCGTTGCGTTGTGGTTCCGCTGCGTTTAGGTTGTGCGCTTTGAAGGCTACTGTCCTCTGTCTCCTGGGTTTTGCCTGTGTCGAGTGTTATTGGTGGTGCCCGCGGCAACAGGCGCATGTGGATCCAGGGGGGAGGGTGTGTGTTCCTTTTGCGCCCCTTTGCACAGGTGGAGGCTTTCAGTCCGTCCGAGCGTGTTGGAAGCGTGGTGCATTCGTTTCTCTCTTTACCTACATTTCTCGATGGAGAGACAAGGCGGTTCACTTCGTTGTCGATACGTTTTGGGCGGGCGGTGGCATCCGGCTGTGGGCCGAAGCTGTCAGTGGTTCCTTCATGCGCGCCGTTGTTCGGATAGTGTGGTTATCTTGCGATCTCAGGGTGTGGTGTGGGCGGGTGCTGTTCGCAGCCAATCTTTTGAGCGGGTGGGGCGGGCTGTGTTGGATTGTGCGGAACCTTGCCGTTGGAGATGGCCTTCGGAGGGGAAGTTCACCTGAAATTCAAACAACCGGACTTTGCGGCGTCTCGGCAGCTCATTGCACGTTCCACGATTGTTCAACGTTCTTTTGGTAAGCTGGCCGGCGTGACGTGCCTACGTGCGCCTCGGCCATCGCTCCTTGTGGCTGCTCGTTACACCCGCTACCTGGTTGATCCTTCCAGTAGTCAAATGCTTGTCTCAAAGACTAAGCCATGCACTTCTAAGTGTGAACAGGTTGGCAAACTGCGAATGGCGAACACTTTGGCGAGCGAATTAGCGCAGCGTAGCGTAGGGTCGGGCAGAGTAGCGCGATAGTTGGGTCGGGGATCTCGGGGAATTTCGACCGCGCGGCGAACTGCCGCGGGATTTTTTTTTTTTTTTTTTTTTTTTGGTTGACTTTTTTTCGGCTTTCTGGCGCGCGGAGGTTTGACGTGCCGGCTGGCGGGGACCTGACGACGAATGGTGGGGGTCAGCGTTGACGGTCGTCTTAGGGTTACGCGACGCGCGACGGCGTGAGGCGAAGGTGGAGACGAGTGGGTCGGCGACATCACGAGCCCACGCGCGACGCCATCGGAGGTGGCAAGCGTCAACGAGCACAAGGGGTGGAGAGGCCGGTGCAGACAAGACAGACCGTGAAGAGAACAGGTCGGCATGCAAGCAAGGGACCATCAAGGGAGACGCAACATGGGTGCGAAGAGGCGATAGGAGCGAGCGCACGCAGCCGCTTACACTACTACTAAAGCAGGAACGGGGACAGGAAGTGCGAATGCGGTGCAGAGGTAAGGTATGAAGTTCTGGCAGGTTGTGTGTCTTGTCGATGTGCTTATCATCTGGGGAGAAGTGCACCTTCATCAGCACAGACACCCCGAACATGCTTGGGACGAATACCTTTGATTGCGAATTCTCATCCTTGCATACCGGCTGGCCTACGTTTTAGGCAGGATCGTTTTCACTGGGTCGCGTGGGGGGGATGCTGCTGGCGATTGGCGATTATCTGCCCGGTAGGGTGCAGCTGCTTATGATTGCCTGCGCACCACGCTTTATGAGCCTCACTCTCTATCTTAACGAGATGCTCGAACACTTCGAGCCTGGCGTGCCGCGAGCGGAGTCGAGGGAGAGCAGAGAATAGGAGTGGGATGTTTGAGGAAACTGTATAAAAAAGGGAGGGGGGGTGTGTTTTTTAGGTGGACGGATTCCACACAAGGGGAGAGCGGTTGGGCTAGTTCCTGACCCAGAGTTCCCCTTGATGTATTCCGGGCTGTAGGCGATTAATGTTGTTCTGAGCGGCGTTTGTGTTTTTTACAACTCGCGTGTCTGGTTGAGCTTGCGTGAGGCAAGTTAGGCTGCAATAGGGCGCTCGGGTTGGGGTACCTCCGGAAAGCGCTGGAGCAGCATCAACTTGTGGGTGGGAGTGTTGCAAACTTTGCAAAGATGGCGGAACAGGGGAACCAGGGAGGAAGGGTAGGGGTATGGGATAGAAACACTCTTATGAAGGCCTTACGACGGTCCTATCTTCTTCGTGTGCCTTTGGAGGACCCAGGCCTCGTTGACTACTTTACGGTCAGCGGATATAGCATGGTACGCTCCGTGAATGAAATCATCTATCTCCAAAATACTTACCTTCGGGCGCATATGGTCGTCTGTACATTCCCGCCAGAAGCCAGGCGATGGTCTAGGGAGGCGAAGAGGGAATGGATCGAACGAAAGGAGGCAGTCTGGACGCTAGGGCGAGGACCATGGAAGGGGGATATCGACGCTTAAGGCGAGTCGGTTGTTACCTATCTGACACCGACCGTGGACATCAGGGACTGGTTGGTTAACGAACAGGACAACGAGTCCATCGAGGTGGATGGTCAAACCCTAGTGGTCACGCTGACGGCTTGGAAATCGCCAGCTAAGATGGCAATGATGCGCCGACAGGACATCCAGCGGCGATCTTGGGTCAAGGTATTCCGGGCATCGCATATCGCAGAGAAATGGGTTAAGGGTGCAGTCGAACACTTCTGCGGACGAATCGTGGAAGAACAAGCCCACCTAGACGAAGATCGCCCATATACCAAGTACGTGATTGACGGGCCGCTTATCTCACTCCTCATCGACACGCTGGCCATAGCGACCGGCGTGTACACTTGTTAGGAGGTGCGGGTCGTCACCAGCGAGACTCCGTTTTGCGAAGTCTGCCGCATCCATGGCCACCTCAATGCTCATGGTCGTTGTCTCAACAAGCAAGAATCAGTTAAGGAAATGCAAGACAGGGCGACCAGACTCGCGATGGAACCGATTCTACAATCGAGCCCGGAGACTAAGAGGAAGGCATGGAGAGAGACCGAGATGCAGGTGGATCTGCAGATCTGGGAGGAGTGCCAAACATCGGCGCAGCAAGCGCAGGGGAACGGAGTACCTGTGACCAGGGTGAGTAAGAGAAGGAAGCGAGGGGAGGTTCTGCGGCGAGAGCGAGCATGGGAAGGGAGTCTGTCGGGCAAGCCCGACCCCATGTAGATCGATCCAGCAGAATGGATGTTCGGGGGAACTCCCCAGAAGAGTCCTCCCCCTCAAGAGTATGAAAGGCAGGTGAGCCGGTTGGCTGACGGGGTGACTCCCCTGCAACACCAGAGTGCGGCGCAACGCAAGGAGGCAGCAGAGCTGCGGTCCCACTCTCGGGCCCCAGCTGAGGCATGTGGTTCAATGGGCAGAGAAGTGGGACACGAGCACCAGCAGGAGCGGAAAGAAGAGATGCTGTTCGGAATGCCCAAGGACGGAAGGGAACAGGACGAGACAGTACAAGAGGATGCCGAGGTGCCCGCAGAAGAAAACGAGGTCGCGAGCTCGGAGAGGGTGATGGCGGCCAAAAAGGAACCGGCCGAGGAGGGCGGCGGGTTGGCCCATGGGGATGGGGACAGGGAGATGCGCTCAGGTAAGACGACCATACCTGTCTCCGGCGAGGGCGCAGGGAACGGGTGGCTCGTGGAGAATCGGTCCGTATCTGAGGGGCAGGCCCCCAGTCCTGGACTAGGCAGGAAGGTTAAAATAGAGCCAGTTGAGGAAGACGAAAGCCCGCCCCAGGCAGGCGAGCCCGGGGAACCTATGGCGCATGGAGTGCAGCGGCAGGAGCGCCCCGGCGGAAAGGCCTCATGCGCGGATGGGTCCAAGAATTGCGCGCCCCCCCAATCAGAGTACGACATGCCGATCATAGTCGAACGGGATAAGAGGGAGAGGGGTCCACGGGCACAGCATCGTCGTGTTAAGCAGGCAATCCCGGGGCCACCGCAGAGTTCCTCAGCCGAATGCATCCCTATCCCGACCACCTCGGCGGAATCAAACGAGTCCACAAAGCAACAACAGGCGGTTCGAATGGAACCTGCCCGGAGTCACCAGCCGCCAGTCGTACGTGAGAGCGAGGGGGAGAACGAGGGCGACTCAGCCCAGGGGAGGCTTAACCGGGAGGAAGTGAACAAGGGCCTGCTGACCGACGAGGTTCTCGAGCCCAAGGACGCAGGCTATGGGCAGGAGCAGCGGGTGGAGGCTGAAGTCGACGGGCGGAACGAGGCGCAAGGGCAGCAGCAAGAAGAGCAGGGCACCAACGAGATGACTGGCCTGCAGCAAGACGCGCAGGGAACTAACGAGGAAATGGAGGACGTACCACAACGGAGACAGGTGTCGCACAAAGGGGGACGCCAGGGGGGTGACGAGGTGAGGGCCCATGGGATACTCGAGGAGGTTCCCCCCCCCGTTGGGCAGGCCTGACGAAGCGGACAACGCGCCGTTGAGTGCTCTGGCGGTGAACCACAGAAGGGAGACGATTACCTTTAATCTCACGGAGATCTTAAAGGCAGGAGAAGTATACGCGTGTCCCCTCGTGCTGTGCTGGTCTGCAGACGAAATCAAGCTGCTAATGAAGGGCAAGATGGAAGTACCAGTTTTCAAGATCTTTGCCCTCCCGCAGGTCCCCGAGGTGATGGAACAAGTCCGCAAATGGTTGGGGCCTGGCTATGAACTTGCTGAAATCCCACAAATATCGGCGTCTCGCTTCATTCGACAAACAGACAAATCTGCAGACTACGCTATCATGACCTTCTTCCTGGCGGCCACGCCCACTAGGTCAGGACGGACATGCATGCGGCTGCGAGGGACGCGATGGGTGGACTTCTCTGAGATCCAAGGACCGGTTGCGCACCCTAGGGATTTTCATGTCATTCATCAGGCCTCCTTGGGTATTCTAGAGCGCATAGAAGCTAAGCTCCCGACCGAGGAGCGTTTCGACTCCCAACATGTCAAGGAAGGAAAGGGGATCTGGGAGAAAGCGGTTTACAGACTAGTTGGGTTTATTTTTTTGTGGGGTGTTGCGGTTAAGCACCCCCCCCCCCCCGGCCCAGCATTAAAAACAGATTAGTTAGATAGGAGTAGGGGTACGGATGGTGGGAAAGAGGACATGCAGTAGGGTAAAGGTTCTGACCTTGAATGCCCGAGGTTTAGGGAATCGGTCCCTTCAACCGAAGAGACGGGAGCTCCGCCGGCTGGTGATCACTCATCAGATTGACGTGGCCTGCATTCAGGAGACCAAGCTCAATGCCAGCAAGATCACCACCCCTTGCCCATGCTGGAAAGGCCATCAAGTATGGGCCCTTACCCAAGGCACACGAGGAGGCGTAGCGATCCTGGTCTCCCCCTATTTCAAAGGTAAGGTGGCTGACTGGTTCTTCGACACTCACGGCTATTGGGCATGGGTTGTGCTGCAGCACGAGGAGGAAACATGGGGTGTCCTGACTGTGTATGGCCCGCCGGAGCTGGGGGCACGTAGGCGCATGTGGGAGCAGCTATCAGAGGTCACGCCGCAGATCAACAACATTGTCATTGCTGGCGATTTCAACACGATTATATCTCCCGAGCTCGACACGGCTGCCATGCGCCTCGAAGAAGCAGACTCGGAAGCACTGCGAGCTAGCATGGCCAGTATGGGGTGCAGCGACTCCTTCAGAGCCCTGCACCCGGATCTCAGGACATACACGTTTTGCAGCAGCACCCCGCAGCGACGCAGCCGAATAGACATGATTTGGGCAACGGACCAGATGAACATGCGGTGTGAGGAGGTATCTACTACGCCCACTGCCTCATCAGATCATGCGGCCGGCGTGGCCTCCTTTGCCCTAGGACAAATGGAGATGGGAAGGCCGTAGGCTTCTGTCCCTGCATGGGTCTTCACCAGTCCGGACTATCGCCCGCTCGTACACCGCTTCAGGGAGAGTTGGGCCGAGAACTTCCTGCAGGACGAATACCTCCAGCGGATCACGGAGGCCCTTGCTGAGCTGCGACGTTTGTTGTTGTCCAAGCTGCGGGTCCAACACCTGGCGCACCAACGAACCGGGCAAGAATTTGTGGATAGACTTCTCGCCCTGGACAAAGGTCCCGGGGATGAGGATGAAGATGAGTGGTGGGCAGAGCGTATGGAGACCGTGCGACAGTGGCGGGAGTGGCAGGTTGAGTACGCGGTACGGTGGGGGCGTAGGAACAAGGAGGCATGGGTTGTGGTGGGCGAGCGGATGGCCAGACGATTCTTTGCCGAGCTCAAGAAGAAGAAGGCCTCAACAGTCATGACAGCAATGATGCACCCGTTCAACCCAGCTGTAGGCGGCAGGACACCACGCGAGGCATTCTCAAGTGCGTTACAGACTTCTACAGGGACCTACTCACGGAAGACGAGGTGTGGTTCCCGGGAGCCATGGCCACCCAACCCGAAGACGAAGTTTGGCAGTTCGTACGAAGTCGGCTTGATCTGGACCGCAGCTGCCTCCTGGATCAAGACATCACGGAAGAGGAGGTGGAAGCGGCTATTCGGGAAAAAAAGCGGCAGGTCTGGATGGGATGCCAATCCAGATTTTCAAGGAGTTCAGGCACATCTTCACCATACTCCTGACCCCGGCTTTCAATGACGCCCTGAGGCACGCAAAGTTCCCAGTAAGCTTCGCCGACGCTTACGTGGTGCTGCTGTACAAGAAGGGGCCCAAGGATGACGTCTGAATTTGGCGGCCGATCTCGATTCTGAATGCCATTTACAAGATCCTGGCGAAAATCTTGGCAACTCGAGTCAATGCAGTGTTGCCCAGCCTAATCCACCCCACGCAGACGGGTTTTGTCCCGGGCCAGCAAATAACAACCAGTATCTTAATGGCCCAGCAGGTGCTCGAGGAGGCCGAGGTGTCGGGGCAATCGTTGGCTTTCATATCCATCGATCTGAAGAAAGCCTACGACAGGGTCCGATGGGAGTTCCTTCTTCAGGCCATGGCCCAACGGGGGTTTGGGGCCATTTTTCGGGGATGGGTACGGACAATGCTTAATCAAGCCTCCACAATCATGCAGGTCAATGGGGTTAGATCCGAAAAGCTAAAAGTGACTCGTTCAGTGAGGTAGGGGTGCCCCCTGTCCCCTGCCCTGTACGCCATCTACATTGAGTCGCTGCACGAGCTTCTTCGGGGTGACGAACGCCTGCAGGGCCTGAGACTCCAGCAAGGCGAAGATATCCAGTCCTCGGCTTTTGCAGACGACACGGGGACCATCATCCCACCCCAGACCAGCCAACTGCGTTTCCTGCAGGAGGACCTGGCAACTTTTTGTAAATATTCGGGGGCCAGGGTCAACTGGGAGAAATCCCATGCCATCCTACCAGCGGACATGGACCCGCCAGACAGATGGGACCTTCCTGCAGCGAAAGATGGGCGGGCCCGGTTCTTGGGAGTCAGCCTCACCCCCAGTTGGGGAGGTGTCGAACAGATGGCCAGGCAGGCGGTGGCGGCAACGACGAAGTTAAAGGCATGGTCCACAGCAGTACAGCTGGGAGTGTTCGGCAAAGCTTTGGTGATCAAGAACTCCATCCTGGCCAAAGTATGGTATGCAAGAGCCATACACATGCCCGGCAGGCGGACCTTTGCGTACTTATGCCAGGCTATCCATGCTTACCTGTGGTCTGACAATGCAGATTCTCAGACCTCAATCTGCTGCGTAGCCTGGAACAAGCTGACCCAGCCGAGAGTTGAAGGGGGATTGGGCCTTTTAGACCCACGTCTGCAGATGAAGGCCCTGCAAATGCGCCACTTGGTATGGTACTTGCTGAGGACGGTTGGGGAACAATGGCACGCGCTTACCACTCAGCACCTGGCACATGCCCTGCAACTCCCACCCGCACTCGTAGAGGTTAATCTGGCCAGCAGTGGCCTGATTGGCCACGTGGCACGAGGAACGGTTTGGTCGGTGCCTCTTGGTTTATGGAAGAAGATCAGCCTCATGAATCGCGAACCCGTGACTGCAGATGCTGTATACAACCAACTCCTCTTCGATAACCGCTTCATCTGCAATGACCAGGGGGACTGCTTCTCATGGCAAGGGAAGCGTGGCGTCTACGGACGGCAATGGGCAGAGCAAGGGATCTTCAAGGTGGGCCACCTGTGGAACGAACACACAGGGGAGTGGAAAACTGACGAAGAACTGGCTAGGGAACTTCCACATCAAGTGCAGCGGTCATGCAGGTTGGCTGAACTGCGGAATGCCATCTCTACCCAATGGGTGGATCTACTAAGGCAAGACCAGCTCAATGCAGGGAAGTGGGTCAAGCTGAAAGGAGAGCAAGCGCCCGCCAACATCTACAGGGTGGAAGCCAATGGGCCCGGCAATGCAGTGCAGGTCACGACGTGGCAAGTTGCCACCAGCCACAGCGGCCTGGGCGAACCGCTGATCCGAAGCGACCAAGGAGGCCAACTCCCCAGACATGCGGTGGAAACAGTCTCCGTGGCCCAAGGGAGCAGGCAGGCGCCGGATTGCATGGTGTCATTTAGGATCTTCGTCCATCGACACGATTTGCCCTTCGATCCGCAGGATTGGACATGGCCGAAGCAGCACCATCATCAGAAGAAGATTGCCCTTCAGCAACTGGCTACTAAGCAAATTTATCAATCGCTGCTCCCACACGTGGATATCTGGGAAAACCTTCGGGACCGATGGGCCAAACGGGCCTGGCTCCCGCCGGCCCGCCTGACGAAATGGACGTGCAAGCGATGGAAGGGCCAACACGCAACATGGGCAAGTCTCCCAGATCAGAAGCATGTGGGCCTCCTATGGATGATTGCCCATCTGGCGGTCCCGACAGCGGAATGGCAGGCGTCGAAGAGCCAGTACCAAGACGCGGAGTGCGCAGCCGGATGCGGAGCGACCGAAGACCTTCCGCACCTCTTCATTAGATGCCCTGTGGTCTGCGCCTTCTGGCACTGGTGGGCAAACGAGATGGCGGATAGCTCCCCCTATGGTATTACGGAGGACGACAATACGGGTATCTTGCTGGGACTCAACATGGCCCCGCAGAAACCCGGCCACGGGAGCCAGCTGGCAAGCGAGACAGTACGGGCTGAGATCCTCTGGGCCATCTGGACAATTCGGAACGAATGTGTACGGCAAGGGACACCTCCAGCGCTCGAGAAGCTCAGATCATGAAGGCAAACATGAGCAATTTTGCCCGCTATACCAGAATGTCAATTGCAGGGGAGGCGCGGTTTTGGAGCCGGTGGGAGCCGTATGCGGCCTGGGTCACTCGCGGGGAACAACCCGGGTGCCTTGCCTTTGGTCGGTTGTTACAGACAGCAGGTCCATGTCAAAACCATTAGTGTATTTGTAGGTGGGCAGGGAATAGAGAGTAGTGTCAGGATTCTATAGTGTAACATAGTAGGGAATGGGGACATAAGACATTCTACGCCCGTTGGCACACTGGCACGCGGGCTCCGCCCTTGCCGCGAGAGCAGCTCGGGCAGACCACCGGCAGCCAACAACATCGAGGCGCAAACCCCTAGGCCCAGCCCTCAGAGCCAATCCTTTTCCCAAGGTTATAGATCCATATTGCCGACCTCCCTTACCTACATTCTTCCTTTGACCAGAGGCTGCTCACCTAGGAGACCTGATGCAGTTATCAGTACGGCCGGGCGTGAGAGGTACCCGCAGCTCCAGATTTTCAAGGGTCGTCGGGGGCGCGCTGGACACCACAAGACGCGCGGTGCTTTGCCTGGCGCTGCACCCTATCTCCGGTTGATCCGATTCCAGGGTGGGCGAGCCGTCAAGAAGGAAAGAGAACCCTCCCCACGGCCCCCGCCGGCATCTCCGGAGCTGCTTACGTTACCGACCACCTCCACAACCCGATTCGGGAATATTAACCCGACCCCCTTTCGATGTGCGGTGCGAAGTGCGCCCTTGATACAAGGTTTCCACATCTCTTAGGGCCGACTGACCCATGTCCAAGCGCTGTTCACATGGAACCCTTCTCCACTTCGGTCTTCAAAGTTCTMATTTGAATATTTGCTACTACCACCAAGATCTGCACCGGGACCCGCTTCGCCTAGGCTCACGCTCCAGGCTTCGCAGCAGGCCCCGCRCCCTCCTACTCGTCGCGGCGTCAGAATCGTCGCGACAACCGAGCATAGGTCTTGCGCGTCAGCGCCATCCATTTTCGGGGCTGATTGATTCGGTAGGTGACTTGTTACACACTCCTTAGCGGATTTCGACTTCCATGACCACCGTCCTGCTGTCTGTATCAATCAACACCCTTTGTGGTGTCTAGGTTAGCGCGTAGTTTGGCATCGTAGCTCGACTTTCGGTTCATCCCGCATCCCCAGTTCTGCTTACCAAAAAATGGCCCACTTGGAGCTTTCATTGATCCTCGGGGTTCGCATAAGCAACCCCGAAATCTTACCTATTTAAAGTTTGAGAATAGGTCGAGGGTGTTTCACCCCCGAGGCCTCTAATCATTCGCTTTACCCAATAAAACTGTTCAATAGCTCCAGCTATCATGAGGGAAACTTCGGATGGAACCAGCTACCAGATGGTTCGATTAGTCTTTCGCCCCTATACCCAAGTCCGAGGAACGATTTGCACGCCAGTATCGCTGCGAGCCTCCACCAGAGTTTCCTCTGGCCTCGCCCTGCTCAGGCATAGTTCACTATCTTTCGGGTCCCAACGGGCATGCTCACACTCAAACCTCTCATAGCAGATCGTGGTTGGCGGACGGTGCACCCGCAGAGGGTTCCCACCACTCAGGTTTCTTCCGCCTCGTGGGCTAATCACCCTTCGGCTCGCATGCACGTTGAACTCCTCGGTCCGTGTTTCAAGACGGACAGGATAGAGGAATTTCGCCAGCATCCCGAACACGCAGGAACCCGAACGGGCCCTCCGAAAGAGGCGCGTGCTCACGATCCTCGACTGCCGTGACGGCCACCCGTGGGGGGTTTCAATCGCTCCCGACCGCAATGTCGGTCACAGCAGCCCATGCTGGCAGGCACCCCACGTCCAACAAGGGGGGCGACAATGCCGTCGCCGTCCACCACTGCCCAGACGGGAGCGCATGACTTCCCCTCCATTCGCTTCTTGCTCGGCAATTTCAAGCACTCTTTAACTCTCTTTTCAAAGTTCTTTTCATCCTTCCCTCGCGGTACTTCTTCGCTATCGGTCCCTCGCACATATTTAGCCTTGGATGGGACTTACCACCCAATTGGGGCTGCATTCCCAAGCAACCCGACTCTTGGACAACACCTCGTTGCGCAGCAGGGTCCGGCGGTCGATGGGGCTATCACCCTCTTCGGTGTCCATTTCCAGGAAACCTGCACATGACCCGCTGCAGAGGTTGCCTCTCAAGACTACAATTCAGGGAGCAACAGAGCCCCCGGATTTTTAGTCTGGGCTATTCCCGGTCCGCTTGCCGCTACCAAGGGAATCCTCGTAGGTTTCACATCCTCCACTTAGTTATATGCTTAAATTGGGYGGGTGCTCCCGCCCGACCTGAGATCAAAAGGCAAGGCCCGACGTACCTCCACAACTCGAGGCCGACACCCCCAACCGCAAGCCCACCTCAAGCCGATGGGAGCGAACGGAAGGCGGCGACCACACAAACAGGAGGGATGACCTTACGTGTTGTTTTCAGGGAAACGAAGGCCACCACACACAAACAGGTGTTGGAGGGCAACAACAGAGCGGAGCGAAACGCACCACTCTGGGCTGCGGCCCCCACAGGCCCGCTCGGAATGCTCTCCAATTCCGTTCCACTTTAGGCTATCAACGCTCTCCAAGTGGGAAGAGAGGGAAGCCACGACCACGGACCCCACCACTCTCCGAAACGGAAGGTGCTGAGGTCGTGAGGAATCCAATGATGCTCAGGCGGGCGTGCCCTCGGCAGAAGCCTTGGGCACCACGTCCGTTCAAGGTATCGATGGCTCACGGATTTCTGCAATTCACATTCAGTATCGCATTTCGTTGCACTCTTCATCGTTCCGAGGGCCAATATATTCGTTTGCCGAGAGTTCTAAAATATGGTGCCGTTCCGACAGGACCGACCCCTCAACCAGAACAGATGGGGGCCGTCAACCCGGACAGCGACAAATCACAGCAGGTACACCAACAAGAAGTTGCAAGGTCGTTGCCAACGCCCACTGCCACGGGCCCGTCCGACCCCCCGTTCGGGGGGCCAGGCAGGGCACCGGTGAGCAGCGGGGCAACGAGGGTGCAAGCGCTGCCTCCTCCACCCCCCACCCGACACCGCCCCAATCCCGACCAAAACCCTCCCCCAACGGCCCTCCACCCCGAGATTCAGACCACCTCGACTGTGTCGAGGACGYCGATCTGTCCGGAAAGGAGAACCCCGTTGGGAAGGAAGCCAGGACGAAACGGGCAGGGGCGAGGACCCCACAACACACCCCGCCCCTAGCCTCTACCACGACCCTCGATCCCCAAACAAGCCACAAGCTCCGCACGAAGCCGAGGTTGAGGCCAGGATGGAAAGGAGGTCTGGACAAATCTGAGACGGGAAGGAGCAAGGGTACGCAGGCCGAGGGCCGCCGCCACCACCCGACATCCCGCCCCTGACCCTCCCGCAGGGCTGTCCGTGCTCGGACCAACCCCCATCCCGACCTGAAGTCGAGAGTGGGGCTGGGCCGAGGTAACAACCTGCGGAGGCGAGACAGGATGAAGGGGGAGCAACGCCACAAGGCCCCGGACCCTGCCCACTCCCCCCACCCTCAACCTACACCTACGCCCCCGTTTGCGCCGGGCCAGCCACCAACTGGGCACTAAGCCCAAGATGGTCCTGAAAACAGCGGATGCCGGGAGGATGGGCGCAAAGGGCGGCGGAAGGGCGAGCAAGCCAGCGTCCCACACCCCGAAGATCGTTCGTTCACGTGTCAATGATCCTTCAACAGGTTCACCTATGGAAACCTTGTTACGACTTCTCCTTCCTCTAAATGATAAGGTTCAACAAACTTCTCACAGCACCCCCAGTGGCAAACCACCGAGATCACCGCAATCCAGACACTTCACCGGACCATTCAATTGGTAGGAGCGACGGGCGGTGTGTACAAAGGGCAGGGAAGTAATCAGCGCGAGCTGATGACTCGCGCTTACTAGGCATTCCTCGTTCAAGATCGATAATTACAACAATCTATCCCTGTCACGTTGAACCTTAAGAAGGTTACCCGGGCCTTTCGACGCAGGCAAGTGACTCGTTGGATTCATTAGTGTAGTGCGCGTGTGGCCCAGAACATCTAAGGGCATCACAGATATGTTATTGCCTTAAACTTCCGTTGGCTAATCGTCCAACAGTCCCTCTAAGAAGCTGGCCACAAGGAAAGGTCCCCGCGTAGCTATTTAGCAGGCTGAGGTCTCCTTCGTTAACGAAATTAACCAAACAAATCACTCCACCAACTAAGAATGGCCATGCACCACCACCCATAGAATCAAGAAAGAGCTCTCAATCTGTCAATCCTTGCTATGTSTGGACCTGGTGAGTTTCCCCGTATTGAGTCAAATTAAGCCGCAGGCTCCACGCCTGGTGGTGCCSTTCCGTCAATTCCTTTAAGTTTCAGCCTTGCGACCATACTCCCCCCGGAACCCGTAAACTTTGATTTCTCACAAGGTGCTGGCAGAGTCATCCAATAAACATCCGCCAATCCCTACTCGACATCGTTTATGGTTGAGACTAGGACGGTATCTGATTGTCTTCGATCCCCCAACTTTCGATCTTGATTAATGAGAACGTCCTTGGCAAATGCTTTCACAGAAGTTCGTCATCCATAAATCCAAGAATTTCACCTCTGACAATGGAATACGAATGCCCCCAACCGTCTCTATTAATCATTACTCCAATCCCGAAGACCAACGAAATAGGACCAGAGTCC